CCCACATTGAGTCAACTTTGGGATTCTTTCATTTTGACTGAACTTCAAACGATCAAACATCATTAAAAAGCAAACAGCAAACATACCGGTAAACAATGATTGTGTATTCACTGGAGCCGGTAGTATCTGGATATTATTGCAACACAGGAAGTTTACTGATTAATTCAAAGGAAAACAAACACACAAAATCAGCAAATATCATTTAGTGTGGATGGTTTCTTTTTTTTTTCCTAATGTCTTCCTTCCTTACTCTTCAATTCTTCCCTCTTCTTCCTATCTTGTCTACTTCCTTTTCTTTCTCCCTTTTTCTACCTTTCTTTTCTATCTTCCTTCATATTTTTTACTTCTATCTTCTTCCTTTGTATTCCTATTTTATTTCCATTCATATATTTTTCTTTAATGTATTCTTCCACACTCCTTTTGAACTGGTTTCTCTATCAGCAAAATACCATGAAACAATTAAGTATAAAAGTTATGGGGCTGAAGGACTGTGTTCTAATGAATGTATTCTTACTTTCACAGCAAAGGGAGAGCTAGACACTTAACAAATTTGCTTTGACTAAAGTACAAATGTACACATACATGTAAGTACAATGTACATTATCACTACAGGAGCAAAATGAAACTCAACTCTTGAAATAAAATACATTTTCTAGTCTGGAGAGTACACCGCCCATTATTTTCTATCAATGGGGAAAAAGAAAAACCTTTGATCCCAATAGTTTACATGATTGATTGTGTAGTGTACATACAGTGGGGCACCATCTATGTTTACTGTACATGTTCTTGATCAAAGTATCAAAACAAACTAAGATATGATTTACCAAGCAAAACAAACCCATATGGGTAACAAGTCAAGTCTTCACATTTACAATGATACAGATCGATAGGAGAGGATATTCTTGGTGGAGGCGTGTCTAGATACAAAACAAAAAGATAATTATAATTTATTTGTTTGGATATTGTAATTTGCAGGCTTGTGGCTCAATCTACTATATGATTTATCTTCAAAATGAATATCCACCTGCATCAGAGCTCATGCATGCTTACACTTTGTAAACTTGTTCAATTGTATACCTCTAAGTCTAACTCTCTTAAAGGTAAAGACCAGTATTGGAAATGCCCCAATTTCAAAAAATGAAATGGAAGCTCTTATTACCAATAATGTGAAAGAATATGTTTTGAATATTACATGATGATAACAATTTTGACGGGAAACCGCCTACTAATTGATATATTTGGTAAATTAGTGTATCTCTCGCCTGTTGAGAGATATGAAATGCATGTGTCGCGCACGTGTATGTAGTCCCATATACATCTTTCTGTGTACAGTGCTTCTAACTTTATGAAGACTTGGCCAAATTTCTTATCATTTTGATGATTCCAGAACCTAGTACATCTATGCTAGATGATCAACCTTTTCTGATCGATTTCACAACGTTTCTTTCACAATGCAATCGCATGACCATCACTGGTCTTTAGCTTTAAAAGCATACATTAGTATTAAATAAAAAGCCTGAAAAGGTTGTTTAAACAATCTTAATAGAAAAATTATTTTGCCTATTTGTTATAAATAATATTGGTCATAATCCTTATCTCAATGTATGGCTCAGAGGTAGAGCAGTGGTCTAAGGATATTAAAGTGAGAGGTCCTAGGTTCAAAACAAAGTCACTGCACTAATTATCAACTTCCAAGTCCATTGGGTAGGACTTAAAGCTATACATGTATGTCTACTGGTCTACAACATCTACAATTATCAACACTGTGACAATTCATTACATTTTGAAAAAGAAGAAAACAAATCTAAAATAAAAATCTGAATACAGTCTGTAAGAGCAGACTAGTCTACAAGTTCATAAGTAGGTCAGCAATTTATTCCATACTAGACGACTGGACAAGTATTTTGGAGGTATAGAAGTTGGAGGAGACATTCACTGGAGAGATGAAATTCCTGTATCTCTCCAGCTATTTAGTATGCAGAGTTTTGATAATAAACCATTCCTGATTCATAATTTTTGCTTAAATACATAAATCAGAATCAGAATTATTCTCCCAAATCACATACATATGTGTACAGTCTACTACTAATATCTGAACGGCCAGGCCTGGGAATGAATCTTAGTCTATACAGCAGGGTTGATGATTTGGGATTAGCCCATAGCATAGGGTTAATTGTAAAAGCAACATTTATGATAAACATCAATATCCCATACAGTATATCACAAATTATCAGCATTACCTACATACATGTAATCTTCATCATCATCATTATCATCATCACCATCATTATCATCATCACCATCATCATCATCATCAACATCATCGATTGCATTTACCATTCTATAAATATTATCTCCATCTTATTTATCGTCTTAATTTCCCTCATCAATTATATCGTCGCTGTTTTCACGAAGTGACGGTAGTGAAAAAAAATTGCATTGACTTTGCGTGACGATTTTCCTCACTACCGTCACTTCGTGAAAACAAGGACGATATCTTCAATATCATCATCATCATCACCATCATGCATCATCATCATCACCACCACCATCATCTCGATTACCATCATCACCACCATCGTCATCCTCATCACCATTTTCATCCACATCATCATCAACATGACCATCCCCAACATCATCACCACAATCATCATCACCATCATCATCATCATCATCCCTATCATCATCATAATACCGGTATGTGGAATATTGCCCAACATATTGTTTCATCTTTTGATATAATTTTCACATCCTTCTAGTGTAAAGATAGGAATGTATATCTTACCGTCCTCAAAAAAGACACTTCGTCTTCTGCGTCTTGAGATGCCATGGTCGACTGCAGTTACATTCCGTATCCTCAAGGTCATGCAACACCAGCTCGGTTTCGAGACAAGATTCAATAGATATCCTAGTCCAACTCGAAGGGTTTGTACATCGATCGTTCAGCGACTGTGTGTTCCAGATTAAAAATCACTCACAAGATCCCCGATGGTGTTTAGATGTTTCGATTATCCTTCAATCTGTTCACATGCACAAAGGGACTTGTTGCAACAACATTACTGGGTATCGACCGGTCGGCCTTCAAGGCCTGTAGGCCAAATGTCGTCGACAGGCAGCGGATGAAAACAAATCACAGACCCCGCAACATGCAACAGCCCTCGAGATCGCAAGCAGACGTGCAGGGGTTATCCGATTTCTGCTTACCTCTCCAACTTGGCAGGATTAGCTGTGAATATTCCTTACACCGTCGTCTCCTCTGTCCCTCAGTCCGGTCTGATCGAGAGACCGATGGAAAATGATTGGAATTTGCGCTATGCCAGCGTGTATTCCAGCCAAATGTTATGCATGGAAACCGCGGTGACGTGACTGCTGTTGCTCTAATGCAGCGAATTGCTGCCGTCCATCTCCCGCTAATCTATCGGGCATGTTTCTCTGAGCGCACCGCTCATATAATTTTGCCAGGAGCATATCGCATGCAAGGAAAGGCATTTAAATTCAACAGATTGTGCAATCCGAAATCATAAACATCGAGCGCCATCTATAGTCAAAAGCAAGTTAATTTATTGTTACACAAAATCAAAAAGATTACAAAGTTTTCAACAATTAGACACAAATCTAGGGTTGAAATATATGATGAGTTCTAATGCAAATTGTCCATGTAGGAAAATCATATCCAAAAACATTTTATCACCGGAAATATGTCAGTGTACATTATCAGCCACTTTGAGTACAGTTTTTATTCAATTTGTACAGTTTTATTTGAAGGGTGCAATGCTCAACTCAGATACTATCCTATATATTTTGTTATATATATATATATATATATATATATATATATATATATATATATGTTCTAAAAGGAGCATGAACAGATATGTATACCTAGTTAATTGATAATTATTTTTTATTTGCAAAAGCAGACATATCAGAGAAAAAGGCTGAAAATCAAAAGGAAAAACTGCAGTGTGTGAGTTATTTTGTTTGTTTTAGTTGCTTGGTTTGTTGTTTTGTTTTATGTTTTAGGCAAATAGATATATATGTTGGAATCTCTGTTTGGCCCATTATTATAATTTATATGCAAATTCTCCCTGCCAATCTTCTTGCATCTATAACTGTGCACATTAATTACTTCAATACAAATAAGAAAGCGAGAATACAACTAAGAATGATTGAGGGTCAGATGTGTTATCCTCAATATGTATCTGAGGACATTCCCAATTAACAAAGCTAGGAGACAGTTGATCTGAAAGCACAAGAGTTCATATTGTATTTTTGTAGCCAAAAGGGTGTTAACTCTGTACCAAATTCTGGTTCCAAGCAGATGTCACTTTGATCCGATCCATCCTGGGGGGGGGGGGGGGGCATCATCTTCATAGAATCTTCAAGTAAACTCAAATCCTTAAAGGAAAATCTGACCTTAATACCAAATTGTTCTGCAAGAAAGCAGAACGAAATCAGAAAAGGAGATTGGTCAAAACTTTGATCGAAATCAGACAAACAATACAAAAGTTAGGAATTTTTAAAAGGTTGTTATCACTACATGCAAGGGAATTTCAAATTGGCCAAAACAGTATGTCACTGTGGTGTTGAATGGGAGAGTTGTCTGTGACTATGTCACAATCCACTGACCAAATCACCAATTTGAGATTTGCACAGATGTACTGATTTCATATTTCAAACATTAATAACTGTCTTATAATTGGTTTGATTCATTGTTTAAACTTCGGCCATTCTGCTTTTCGTATTTTTCTGCTCTCGTACAAATGAAATCATTACAAAGGTTGGGTTGCCCTTTAAAGTAACCAATGATGTCTGAGATAAAATTCTTTGTATTGCCCTTTTATTAAACAAAAACAAAATATCACTCATTCACTCATTCTCTCATAAAAATATTTCACCCACCCACCCACACACACACACACACACACACACACCTTGCAAGTGCTCTTTTATTATAAACACTGATGGAAGAAATAAGACAACTCTGCACGCCAGATGAATTTATATTTTATACCAAAGTGTATATTTCAATCAACAGTACTATACGTATATCAATATCAAAGTTTATAAATACATTCATATTAATTTGATAGTTATTATCTGAAACAATACGACACAAACATGGACAGAATAGTATATGGAAGAGTTCACAGAAAAAGACAGTTCTTCTTATTTTTTTGTCGTAAAAAAAAAGTACACTTCATAAAATCAAGGTGATCTGGCAAATCACAGAGCAAAGCTGTCAACAAAAGCAATGAAATTCTTGAGGAAAATACAAAATTACATGGGAAATAACAGATGGTTTGGAAATTGTAATTACCAGTAACTATACTTTCAAAGATAAAAAAAAAAATGTTCAAAATTACAAGCATCCCAACTTATAAGATGTATTGAATATATAAGACATCCATTATCCATTGTTTTGAGAAAGTGGAAAAGTGTACTGCAGTCAAACCTGTCCACCCAAAGGAGACACAGAAAGTGGCCACTGCAGACAGGTGGCCTTTCTAGACAGGTTCATTATCTAGTAGGTGGAAATATTGATGACCACTATAGACAGATGGTCTTTAGGGTTAAGATATTGATAAAAGTTGCAATTTATATAGCCCCTTGGATATAAAGAGCTTTAAGGTTCCATCTCAGCGTTTAAACATTCTTTTTCCACAAAGATTTAAACCTGTTTAAGAAAAAAAGCCCTTTAGAAAATCTAATGAATATTCATCATAATTAATCACACGATTATTGCACAAATTCTTAAAATTCCATTGCTTCATTTACTCTTTTCCTTACTTCACATAATATCACTATTAAAGAAATCAGAACCAAGTGCTCTGTTATTCAGACAGATAAAAAAGTTGTCTATATATTAAGTTTATACTTCCTCTGTTACAGATGGGCAATGCTTTTCCCTACAGCTCCCAGTTTGCATGAGCACAGTATACACGTATGTCAAAAAACTTAGGACACAGGTCATAGTTCACCCTAATGTCAGGCATTATTCCACTGGATTTTATTGGTGCGAACGAACCAAATAGACAGCTGACCAAGTACATTTTGAGAACAAGAAAGAGTCCAGGACAACCAATTGATTAATCCCCAAACTATGAACAATCATCCAGTAACAATAATTACCAAACTGGGACAATTGTTAACTGATGTCTAAGATATAACTTCCACTGAATTTCTATTCTTACAGACCAGCAGCATGATTTTAGTATAATTAAAGTCAAAATAACTAATGCACCATTCGTAAACCTCAGATTCAACTAAATGTATAAGCAATTTGAGTAGTCATTGCAAATCTATTCTCTGGTATTCTAAAGCAGGAAAACCTTATCGCCACATCTGGACGCGTTTCATGGCTGATGTCTAACATTCCTTAACAGAGTTTGCTAGAGTGGAGTACAGAGTCATGTCTTCTGATAGTAGTATAGATACACCCTGTCTGTTTTTGAATGACTTGGCAGAGTTCATGCATAAAATGAAATGCATCCTCCCGACAATCATACAGATAAAAATGATAGCTTCTTGTACACTGGTCTGTCAACATGGTGACCCTGTGGCCACTCCAATACTACACATGTTACCCCAATCAAGGCCAAGCTAATAAGTAGCCAGAAAGCATATCAAGTACCCATTTACACTTGTATAGAGAGTGGCACATATAATGATCCACTCTCTAATTTCTTGTCAAAGGAGTTTATTTCAGGGCGAGGATTGATCAAAATGATGGACTAAACCACTGTACCCGACACATGCGGATCGTTGTACCCCCAAAAAAGCATTCAACACAGCTGCAGTCGTGCCTCACTGCAAAAGTGAGTTTGCATGAGGCTAAATATTAAACACATATATTATACAGTGGCTTAAATCATTTATATACTGTATCAATTTAAATGTCAACTACAGTGTTTTAAAGCTTATCAACAAGCTGCAGCAATAGACCAGTTCGTAGTTAGCTTTGGTTACAAATGACCTCCAAATATCCATTGATCTTTTACACATGGAGATGTCTCATTTTGTGCATTTTAGAATAATCACTGCCCAAATTCACGAATTTCTTTTGTATGCCCTCTTGAGAATAATACTTCCATGTGTATCACGGAATGTGCTGTCAATGAATAAATAACGAGTAATGAATACATAACTTTAATGGGCACAAATCCAGTATTATGTATCAAAAAATGTGCCGTCAATAAATAATCAATGAGTAATGATAACATTACTTTCATAAGCACAAAGCCACTATTGGTCTCGATGGGTTTTACAATTTAGGTTCACTGAAATGACCTTTATCTGCCAATGCGCAGATGGTATCTACGAACCGGCTTCTTGAATGCACACAGCCACATTATTGCAAAAAGTGGCACTTGATATCCAGTCATGACTCTTGTCTTGGTCCTACTGTAGCCGGATGCTGGTTGTTTTCTTGACATCAGAAAGTCATCTTACCATCTCCATCACTAGACAGCATGGCAACCTTTTTAGTTTTACTCAATTCCAAATGATGACTTACAACATTCACAACTGAATGAATTAAAACAGAGACCAAAGTCTGAAGGCTGTTTTCAATCACTGCAGTGACTTGATGAACAATGCCAAAGCAACGTTACTGAGAGAATTGGCACTTGATTTCATAATCATGACCCTTGTCTTGGTGCTACTGTAGCCGGATGTTGGTTGGTTCTTGACATCAGCATGCCGTCTTCTCATCTCCATCACAAGACAACACTGCAAACACTATGAAACGGTTTGCATTCGCAGCTGCTATCATGGTGCTTGGCCTACAGATGTAAATAAAATGAAGAAAAGTAGGAAAAGATGATTATATTATAAAAGAGCATTATCGGCAAAAATCATCCAACGACGATGGAAAACACCATAAAAACCAAGAACATCAGACAACAAGCATTTTGTACAACAACAACAAAAATAATATTTTTGTCATGCTTATTAAAAATATAACAGTGGTTACAAAGATTCATACCTACTTCAAAATAATTTGAACAATAAAATGGTATTTTGTCCAAGGACATTGACACAGAAGTAGAATATTACCTTTATGTTCATGTACTGAAAAATAATGTCATTCCATTTTCACCTCTAGCGATTAATCATGGTTATCTGAGCAGAAAATGTTAAGTGTAATGAGAGCTTTTAAAAACGACAATTTAGTCTTAACTTTTCACAAACCATGACAGACTTTCACATTTTCTTGAACTGCATGTTCAATCAAGTTCGGTCCGCATGAAAAAAAAGGAAATTTTTACTGCTGCGACTGAGAACAGAAACAACACATTATGTAAAATAGTGAAACCTGTTTCTAAAGACCGCTCAAGGTAAACACAAAATGTGGTCATTATAGACAGGTGGTCTTTTCATACACGCGATTGCTAAAGCAGGTTTGATTGTATGTTGCCTAAATTGTGTCATGTCTTGAAGCAACGATTATGACACTTGACTGATAGTCTGATTACCAGACTCACCTTTTTGTTGAAGTAGACCCTGCCTAGCCTTGATGAAAGCCATGATATCAGCATCAGCTCTCTTGTCACCGGTAAGCTTCAGACTGCTCGAGTTTCCCTGTGAGTTTGACCTATACAGGAGGTAGACATTGGGGGTAAGCATTATCTAATCAGTTGTAGGGGCATGTTTATGAAAATAGCGACAAACGTATAATGAGGTGGCTAATTTGCATACAGTAGGGTTAGAGTTAGGGCTTGATTGGTGTCTTTTTTTTAGAAAAATGCCTATATGACTGATTAAATAATGCCTACTGACATTGTGGCTCAATTATATGATGAACAAGTAAAATTATTATTAAAAAAAGAAAGGTAGTGATTAAATCATTTATATTTTTGCACAAGATAATAAAAATGTGCATATACTGTGACACACAATTATTTAATAAACCATCCAGCAATCTGGATAAAAATAAAGTTACAAGTTTGATTACATTAATTGTCATTATCAAACATATTACATGTATGATTTAAACTGATAGATGTATTAAACATATAGTACTGGTTTTGTTGTTAGTATAAAGGTGGTGTCATCAGCGAGGATACACCAAAATGGACATCTCTGCCTGAATAGTACCTTTGCTGCCTGCCGCTCTCAGCCTCTCCTGGACCACTCTCTCCCCCGCCCCTTCGTATCCTATCGTCCGCCGAATTGGACTTCCCCACCGGAGGAACGGGGGGTCTTCTAGCAAAGTCCAGGCCTTGCTGGTTCTGGCTGAGCCCCTGCAGAAGGGCATTCCTGTGCGTGGCAGAGTGCGGTCGATGATGTCTCTGGTGGTGATCGTCCTGGTGGTCGCTCCGGTGTTCGTGGTGACCCTGGTCGTGATGGTGGTGGCTGCCGGTTGTCTTGCGCTGGTAGCTGGAGGGGTCTATCAGGGCGTGGCTATTGCCATGGAGATGAGATGATGATGATGTGGAGTGATGGATGTTGTTAGGGTGTTCCTCGTGCTGGCCTTTGATGGGTGAGACAGGAGGGGTGCGCCACGCCTTGCCAGGGTTGCTTGGAGGTCTGTGAGGTGACGGTGCGGCCTGATTTGATATGATAGACAAACAAACAAAGACTTTGAGATGACATGATTGATATCTATAAAACTACTTCCTGGACTACCAGCTCATGGGAGTGTTTCACAAAGACTAAGACAACTTTAAGTTGGACTTAACTATGGCAGGCCATTCATGCCATAGTTTCCTCTCACCATTACAATCTTCAGATAATATTTTTTCATCAATAATGAATTATAAAATTGTACTCTAGAATAAGATTACAAAATAGAGAAGGTATAAATATTTATTAGCAGCTGCAGGATACAAATTTTTAAGCAAAGACCTATAACTTTTTAAGGCTAAATTAAATCAAAACATACTTCATCCTCAATACTTTTGAGTTCATGGAGAAAAAAGTGCCACTATCTTTGCCTCTTTTCTGTGATTGAACCATGTAAAGAGGTCACCGGAAAAACAAAATGGTACATTAAGACTGACCTGTAAGGAAGCAGACTGCTCTGCCCACCAGACCTCAAAGTCCTTTTGCAACTGAAGCCGTGATCTTTCCAGGAGGTGCTGCAAGTGCTCTATCTCTGTCTTCATGACTCGTAAATTGTTAAAAACATCCTTGTACCTGCAGAATCACGATAAAAACCCTCAAGATTACTTATACCCTGGTTATTACTAATATCCTATGGTTTTTGGCTTCACCAAGCTGTTGTCCTAGATATAAAGTATTGTGCAGAGCAGCTATGTTGTCCTTGCAACTGATGGATGATGGGATGGCAAACAAAGATATATATATATCAACACACTATTATTCAACATAATGCAAAGTATGGTACAACCAGGACCCATCTTACAAAGAGTTGATATCAATCGCAACTATGTACGTAGGAGATAGGGGACTGCAAACTTGCGATTAATTGGATCAGTAGCAACTTTTTATAAGAAAGAGCCAAGGACAACTAGCTCAGCAAATACAGTACATAAAAAAATGTCACCTTGTTTTCTCATCTTCCAAGTGCATTCTAAGGTTGGCCTCGACTTCGTCCTCCTCTTCAGCGACCACGTCGCCTGCCATGGCAAGCTGCATCCTACGATGCTCAAACTGGCGCTTCACTTTATCTGCGAGGAAAAAACAAAAATAATGATAATTTGCAGTAGAGTTTTTGATATTTCCATTATGTTCTATACAAAAATCTCCTATCTTTTCATGGAGGGCCTCTGAAGGATTTGTTTGTTGCTGTATGTACCTTGTTTAGAATTACCTTAATTTGCGTCCACTGGACTTTATAAAGGTTGGATAGACTATGGAAATGTTATTTTGACAATATTTTTATGTGCATACTTCTGGGAAATTTGTTTTCTGTCATTTGCTAGATCATATTCATATTTTATATAGTACAGGTAAAAAGTCTAATGAAAAGAAGAAGATATATTTTGTTACTTTATAGAGGCCTTTACAAAGCAAACAAAGCTTCCATTCTTTAACTTATTTCAGATTGATAGGACATCAACATCAAGTCCAAATTCTCCAAATAAAGATGAAATATTACCATTAAAACCATGTTCACATGTGATGCATTAAACTGTCAACAACAAGAATTTTAAGGAGATTTTAAAAATAATGATATCAGCATAATGGGGTGCACATGTCTGTATCTTATAACATACAGATCTGTACAAATTCTGAGGAGCCTTATTTCACCCCAATTTACATGTTGAATAGTTATGATTTTGCCACGGTGGTTTTTTGAAGCAGTTTACCACATAATGTGAAAGAGGCTTGAGAGAAACAATCTGGGACCCGTTACACAAAGCCTTTTTTCAATGACAAATGACAAAAATAGGTGACAAATCTGCTGATAACCAATCAGAAGCAAGGATTTCACTAGCTTATAACAAAAACTTTCGTGTGTCACTAATGACAAGTTTTGTGAAAATAGGGCTCTGATCTGACTCACTGATATTTTGTCTGCAATCGTTGACCTGCTGTCCGTACGTCTTAGCTGCTCCATATCTCTCTTTGAGCTGGTGTTTGTTATCCTCAATGGCGACGTTGTGTTCATAGTCACGACGGAAGATCTCAAAGGCTTCTTGCCTACCAACGGTCATGTCCCCTTGGTAGATGAGTGAGAGATTGAATATGTTTATTTTATCATTTAGTGGGTGAGGGTTAGCTGAACAGCTGCAACTCAAATAAAGCAGAAGCATCAAATTCCTTTTTTAATTTTATCAGCCGCACACTATATGAATAGTACTATAAATATTGGCTTTTTTGTTCAGTGTTGGATTTCTAAAATGCATTTACAGACTGTAGTGCTCTAAATGCTCCAATAGAATCTCAAATTTAGCTGGCCTACCGAATGCTGTTTTCACAACATTAAAAGAATTCCTACATTGTATTATGTTGTAGGATATCAAAGTCATGATGACAAAACAATTCCATTCTTCACATAACGAATCGTTTAAACACGTTAAATGCATCTACCATGCTTTCAAATCAGATAATCTAACAGGACAGTTTATAAGATGATGACGGGGTGTTTCTCACCTAAGATTCTTCTTGAACTCCTTGGTCTGTGTGAGAGACTACTTTCCCCCTCCTCTTCCTCTGAGTGGCCCATCCTACTCCCATAGCTGCTCTGTGATTGGCTGCTACCGGTGGTGTGATGCCTGCTGTGGGGCGTGTCTTCCTCCGATGCTGACCTGCTATTGGTTGGACGGTGCCTGGTGTCTGGGTTGGCCCCGCCTCCTCCCACTGATGCCTGTTTGATGGCATCCAGGGCTCTCTTCTTCTCTTTCTTCAGCATGTTTACAAGGATGTCTGGTGGAATGCTTGGTCAAGGAACTGTATTTGACCGGTCATTAACAATTATGCTCAGTACTTGTGGTGAGTTTCTATTTAGGATAGAAATTGTGGAGATCATTTATATTCTAATGGCTTTTTCAAAAGTTGTAATGGTCCTATGATTCATGACCAACCTTTTGTGATCCTGCTGATGATGATTCTCCAGAGTTTTCAGTCTCGAGCAATACCATGAGCTATGACAAAATATAAACCTGTTAACTGCCTTTTAAACACGACATGTTAAACTGCCTAATAAGTATGTAAATGAATGGCAAAAGACAATGTTGTGGAGGGAAAAGAAAAATAGAAGAGCACAAAGTCTCCTATTTTCCACTCTCTGATTACTGTATTATAGTTTACAGAACCCTATCTAATGAATAGCAAATATACATGGATGTCCTTCACAGCTATCAATATGAAGGAATCATGTCAAGAAAGAGTCACAACATCAAACAAGATTCTTCAGAAATAGCCTGGCACCAAAGGAGTTAGAGAAGGTCCAGACATAGTGTTACCATCTATGTCATTGGAAAATGTAACTTGAATACCTACAAGACAGAAGAAAGCGAACAGATTTTATTGATGCATACAAAGGTCTCTTTGGATATTACCAGACTCGGCACATACATACTCTTCGTTCCCCCCAAACAAAGAATGAAGAGGGCACTCTAATAAATTGTTTCTTAGACAAGCAATGGCTCGAACAGTAATGGCACAGTCGACACTTGTGTGGAAGTCCCGAGATGTAATTCTTCCTCCGAAGAAGCAAGAGGCATCAGACGTTAAGAGAATCAATGCCTTTGATATGTGGATTTGGAGACTTCTCAGGGTCAGCTGGAAGGACAGGAGAACAAATTAATGGGTCCGCAAAAACTTATGGTACCAGGCGAAGAAGGAATGGTGGCACAAGTCAAGAAAGGGAAGATCACAAAGTATGGGCACTGGAAAATAAAAGAGAAGAGTGTTGTACCAGCGACTATTGAAGGCAAATTTGAAGGGGAGTGTCAAGTTGGTAGACGTATTGCGGGATGGATAAACAACATTAAGAACTGGGAAGATAGAACGAGAGTAGTAAGATTAAATGCGCGAGAGAGAAGCCAATGCCTCGGAGGGGCTAAAGTTTAACGTAGTAGTAATTGTTCTGTCTGTATAAAAGGATACTGATCTCGTTATCTCTCTGCTGCACCATGCTCTGGAGTTTCTTGACCTCCGCCCCTGCCATGTAGCTGGTATCGGGGGTGTAGCTCGGGGGCGGGGTGTCGTCGGGTCTGGACGACCTCTCCTCTTGGTGCCTCTGAGGCGAGGGTTCCGAGGAGGAGGAGGAGAGGGTCTTACCTTGAGAATATTGCTGCAGAAACAAGGAATGCACAAATGTATTAAAGCCTGTCTGCACTAGTTTGGCCAAGGGGGATAAGACCTCCCTGCAAGGTCACTGACATGTGGTTTTCACACCAAATGAGCTCTCAATTAACATAAGAAAAAGGGGGTCATGGGAGACCAACAGGCACTGATTAGGAATTGTTTGCTGTATAGAGGGCGCAAGTAACTATAAGTAGAGCTGTGGGGCTTTAACATTACTTTAGACAAATAGTTATTTGGTAAGTATATAATACAAATTACTTTAACAGACAGACAATTACAAATTTTAGCTTCATTGGTATCATTTTGTTTTACAGCACACCAGTGCAAGTTTCATGAATTGCCACATATTCTGTATCTCAAATATGAGTTATGTTTGCTTTCATTACAACAACAACAAATATTAATTGTATCATGCCTCTTCCTGAATCTCTCTCTTATTGGGAAAATACATACACATGCATGATCCACAATGGAAGGAATGTCCTTGTTAGTGGTAAGAAACATAATAGTCTTGATAACATAGAAGTCAAAAAGATACTTAGGAAATAGGACACATAGTTTGAAATAAAATAGGTAAGATTACCATTCCTTATAACAGCCATGACATCACTGACATACAATCATGAAAACAGCTATTGTAACCCTCAAAACATACTTGTCAGTTGTCACAAACCAGATATTTCCAATTAGTCGTTTTAATAGTTTTACAATTGTTCAGCCTTCCATGAAACTCTAGATATGTTTGGCCTCTCTAAATAAATATTGCAAGGTTAAAGAAAGAACTCAACAAGGAAACTTTTTCTTCTTTTCCAAATCTGATATATCGAACATGTAAATGAATAATTATACCTTTAATATTCTGAAACATTCATTGATCTTCCTCATGTCAGCTCCGACATTGAGCCGACATTCGGGGTCAGGATCCTCTATGTATGCAGCCACTCTCTCCTGTAATCTGTGATTAAATGGTTAATGCAGGTGGGTTAATGAAACAATTAGATATCATGGTTCAACTGTACAAACCCTCTTTTTATCATTTTCAGAGAACACACTCTTAGACTACCAAAGGAAATAGATTATTCTGTCATTATACCCTTCATGGTGCACCCAAAGTCATGGTGATGTGACAGTGAGACATAAAAATGAATCAGAAAAAAAATTCATTGATTTTTCCTCATATCTGCTCATATATTATTCAGGGTCTTTCCTGTATTACGTCATTTAATGCTAAAGAGAATGATAACATATTGAGCACTTTTTAGGCATGACACTGTTTAAAGGCCGTCTGTACTAGTTTGGCCAGGAGGGATTAGACCACACAGCGTGGTCACTGACAGGTGGCTATCTCATCAACCCAGCTCTCAATTAACGGTCACCGATTAGGCATTGTTTTCTATATAGAGGGAGCAAATAGCTACAAGTAGTACAGTGGGGCTTTAATAACTGCCTTTAAGTTGTTGTTGTTTTGAATTTAAAAAACTAATAATAATTTGTCCCATGTATACTCACTGATCTTCTTGATGTAAGAAGAGCTGTCCAGAAACTCTACGCCCTTAGAACATTAACCCCCTCCCCCACCTCTTCCTAATTACCCATCATGTAAAATTATGTGCCAGATTACTGACCACGCTAGAATATCACCAAGAGATTTAAGAGTAGTTTCACCAGACCTATTACAAGAATTACATACATGGAATGGGTAACAGTTATTAGTGATCCAAGATGCTGTGACTTTGGCTCTACTTAACCCATTAGATTTTAAATAGAATGTACCTGTCAATCTCTTCTTGCGTAAGCTCATCAGTTGACTGCTCTCCTGATGTCAAGGCTAACTGGTTCTTCAGTTCCGAGATCTCCATCTTCAATTTAGCAATCATCTGAATTAAACAGGGTGAGAAAATGTAGATTACTAGAAGAAGAAAAACAAACAATTCAATTCAATTCATATCTATTTTATTTCCAACATAAAGATGAACAAAGCTATTACAGATATTATTACAAAATGTATGACAAAAAATGTATTATCCTGTCACAGTTTCCAGAGGGAGGTAGTACTATAGAGGTGTCGTAGTTGAGTGGTTTAAGCGCTTGACTTGAAATGTAAAGGTCGTGGGTTAGATCACTGACGTGGCACCAATGTCATTTGGCAAGGCATTAATCAACATATGTCACTCCATACCCAGGAGAGAAATGGGGACCTGGTAGAATGACGCCCTCGCAGTGACCATACAGTAGGAATACTCCCCAGGGAGTTAGATGGTACACAATGTGCATGAATGAATCAGATGACAAGGGTAAAAATATCTGGAAAACTTTTAGAGAGCGTATTTTGTATCAAGTGCTATATAAATCCAGATTCTAACATTATTATCATCCAAAAGGTTAACCATCCATAACATTTTGCTTCATTATTCAATAAAATATTAATATAATGACATTATCATAAGTTTGAAAGTGCATAGGGACGTTTTGTCAGAATGTGATATGTAAGAATAGAATATTATCATATGAAATATCATTATAATTCTCACTACCAATGCAATGATATGTCATCTACTCACCAATTTCGGATCAAGTTCCTCATTCAGAACAGCATCATTCTTAATCAATGCTACGCGCTGAGCAAAGCGACATGTTGATATCGATTCCTGGACAGCAAAGTGAGTGAGAAAACAAAATTATATTAGCTGAAGTGTTCTTCAACACCATATTGGTTTTAAAATAACAATCTCTACAGATTTGAACCTTGTGCACTTCTCAGCACAAATTTGTTTTTCTGCATGCCTGATTGAAAGGATTACCTCTAAATGATGTTAATTCCTCTCATTAACTCCCCTCTTCCTTTTTTTCTCTCAGAGTTCAAAATAGAATGAGTAACATTGGCACTTTATCACAAGCTATTTCGCATACCTAATGAGCACTGTGACCTTTGAACTTTGACCTTGTGACCCCCAAATCTAATCAGTTCATTGGCTTTGCAGGATACAAGCATGATTAAAGTTTGGCGGTAATCCATGAAACGGTTCTTGAGATAACGCGATAACGAGCTATTTTGCATACATAATGAGCCCTGTGACCTTTGACCTTTGACCTTGTGACCCCAAAATCTAATCAGTTCATTAGCTCTGCAAGATACATGCACGATCTAAGTTTGACGGCAATCCATCAATCGGTTCTTGAGATAAAGCGATCACAAGAACGGGACGTACGGACAACCAGAAAACATAATGCCTCCGGCTACTTTGTAGCAGAGGCATAAAAATGTAATTTAAAAATACTGATATTCATCAGTATGCCTGATAAAATAATATCTAGTGTTACTTCTCAGACAGCGACTCTTAACCCGCTGACAACCGGATTCTCTCATTCCCATAGACCTAATACAGGAGCCATTCGGTTCCCAAAGGGTTAACTGAGATAGGCACTGTTCATACTTACATCAATGTTCTTCTTCTCCACAGAGCAGGTCGCTATCATGGTCGTCATGCAGTTACCTCCCAGACTGTCCCTTAGCACAGCAGTCATCATGGAGTTACGATAGGGAATGTGTGTACGCGACTTCTCTGACAGGGCCACGATCACCTGGATATCAAAGATTCAAATTGGAATTCAAATAAACATTTAAGATTCAAATTGGGATTGAATTTCAATAAACATTTGAAGATTCAAATTGAAATTCAAATAAAAATTTGAAGATTCAAATTGAAATTCAAATTCAAATAAACAATTGAAGATTCAAATTGGAAATTTAAATTCAAATAAACATTTGAAGATTCAAATTGGAATTAAAATTCAAATAAACATTTGAAGATTTAAATTCAAATTCAAATTCAAATAAACATTTGAGGATTCATTAAATTAAAAATTAAGAAATTAAAAATCAAAGATTTAATGAGATTTACATTTAATTGTACATTTACATTTACAAAAGTTTATTGACTATTTGCTCACATATATTAGAAGAGATATTCAGTTACACAATTTACTAAAAATGAAAGATTCAATAATATTCATATTTTCTTTGATTTGTTTTTAACATTGGACTAAAACTAAAATCATGTTTACTGAAATTGAATGGATATAAAATTGGTTTGAATGGTACTTTATATTTTCACGGCAAGGAAACAATGATGGAAAAATTCCCCCAAAAAATTTCCTGGCATTATACAATTTAAACCTGTTACTGGGTTTAAGGTCAGTCTAAAGTCGAGGTTCACAAAACATTTTAGACAGAGGAATAAGTTTTCCCTTTTGTTCAATGTCACTAGAAATTCTTGAATATTTGAAAACTTCTCAAAATAATCCTTACCTGTTCTAGGAAGTGGAGAGACAAATTGATGTACTTTGCTTCCTTCAAAAGATTTCCTCCGACTCCTGTTTTTGCAACTCTCTCTGATCTACAATGATAAGAATAGAATAATATATATTTCTCAAAATGTACTATACTATGGTAACAAACATAAATTTAAAGGTGTTGTGGTCTGGTAGGTACAGGGTTCAAATCCCAGCCCGGCTCTAACGTCCTGTGGCAAGACATCAATCTATATTTGCCACTCTCCACCCAGGTGTTAAATGGATACCAGGTAGCATGTGAACATTGATATAGTTTGCTCAGCATTGTGAGAGTCTGTAAAATAGCCCCTGGCTGGAATGCTCCCCAGGGAGTAGAGAATGTGCATACTTTGTGTGCCACACTTTAAGACAACTCAAGCTGTTTACGTGTACTCACCCAGCCAAGTCAACAAGATGTACCTTAGCCCTCCGAAGGGTGGCCGAACCTGCTTCACGTACTGACACGTGTATGGTAAAGATACAGTGAGATCTGGTTGAGGCTTGGTTCATTGGAGTCTGTTGAGGGTTATTAAGAGGTTACAGAAATTGTTTTGTAAGTACACAAAAATGCATGTATGTTCATACAACAGATATTTAATGATTTAAATCTTTGAATAATCAGTCAAACCTCCAATATCTTTGGTGCAAAACAGTTTTAATCATGGTATAAAAATAACATAAAATATGTTATGAATGCATTTTAACTTTGTTCAATTTCCTCTCTAATTGTAATCTGTACTTTGTACATGGCCCCTAAAGAAAACAGCATTTTAAATACTGAGAGAGCTACTCTGTTTAAACAAAAATGAATAAATAAATAAATGAATAAATAAATACATCAAGTGCTGCACTGTCTTCATAAACATGGCCTGCATGTTAAATCAATATTTTATGACAAAATAAAGCCTGGGGAAAAGATACGATCATCAAAGTGGCACGTTATCTTGGCAACTAGACTCACCTCTGCGATCATCCTGTTTGTGTCTCCTAGGAAGAGCCAGTTGAGAGCCTCCTCTTCATTGGATGCCTGGTGTGTCATGATGTTCTTCATCTGAGTGTTGCCATCACTGTCCTCCATCAGCGTCACCTTCCTATAACATTAGAGAGCACAGAGAGTGAGAATTTTCTTTCATTGGTTTCAGACAGCTTTCATATCAAAGTGCTGTTTCAGCATCGATTCTACTGAACTGCAAGGAAGAATTGTCATAATATCATTTTCTAATGCAGTAATGGGACAGGAGTCCCTCTAAACCCTACAACCCTGTCTATGCTCAGTTTATACCAGGGGTGATAGTGAGCACTAAAAAAAAATAGTTTTTTGTTTTCCCCTCAACCACAAAAAAAAGAGGATTCGTGGGGAAAAAATGGCATCTAACAACATTCCCCTCTTTCGAGTAAGAAAATTGGGGAAAAAATAGGACAAAATAAGGAAGAATAGAGAAAATAAGAGGGGAATCAGAAAAATCGGGATAAAATAGGGAAGGAAAAAAAAATCTGGTAACAAAAATTTTTAATTTGTTTTTAAACTAGATGGAATTTTGACTGCGCGCAGTCGAAAATGATGCCTCCGCCATAGAGCAATTTAAACAAGTTTGGAGTTTAAATCTCCAGTGGTTCTTGAGATATCATGATAACAATCTCAATGTATGGAATTTCATAAGTTGACCTCTGTGACCCTTGACCTTTGACCTATGTGCTCCAAAATCTAATCAGATTGTCTTCCTATGGTGATACACACTATCGTTAAGTTTGAAGTTTAAATCTCCAGTGGTTCTTGAGATATTATGATAACAATCTCAATGTATGGAATTTCATAAGTTGACCTCTGTGACCCTTGACCTTTGACCTACGTGCTCCAAAATCTAATCAGATCGTCTTCCTATGGTGATAAATACTATTCCCGAGTCTTAAGTTTAAATCTTAAATGGTTCTTGAGATATTGTGATAACGGTCAAACGGGACGGACGTACGGACGGACAACCCGAAAACAACATGATGCCTCCGGCACCACCTTCGGTGGCGGAGGCATAAAAATCTGAAAACCGATTTAAATCAGGTTTTTATCAGGCCTGGTTTATACACGTTACAACTAATGCAGAGAAAACAGGAATGCATTAGGGAAGTAAGAAGATCAAGTGCTCCACAGACTCTGGTCCTCAAGCCTTCTATATTTTTTTCACAAACTTTTATGCCTTACAATGAGACTTGAGTAGACTAGACTTGAGCCAATGTGCGGCATTGGGCCTACAAGTCTACAGCCTTGTACAATTCAGACCTTGCAATATATGACGGTACTCACACTTGTAGTGAGAACCTCATGTCCCTTTACTGATATTGACAACCCACAACAGGTGTCATATCTAAACAATTGTCAGTTTTAATTAGCTATGGTTGATATATGACATAATAACAAGCTTTTGCAAATATGAAAAAATTGAATTGTAGCTCAAGTGGGACTTTCAAAAACAAAACTTGCCGATGATGATGGTGGGGAAAGCAGCCATAGCTACATGACACATCCTCCAGCAACAATGGCGCCGATTTGTAACACTAAAAAGAATTTCAATCTTTAAACCTGCACCAAACACTATGCCTAACCCTTTCTTTGATGAAATAAAGCCCAGGATAAATGAAACAGGAACAAATGTCTGATCACAGTGCAGCCTACATCTTTTTTATAACAAGAAATGTTTTGATGGGACAAGGGTGGGTTGTACTTACGGTAGATCTTCTAGTTTTGCTGCTTCATGCTTGGGGTCCAGAAGGTCATAGCCACTCTCATTGTACAGCTCCAAGTATGATATATGTGTTGTGTAAACATATTCAGGATTCTATATGACATAGGAATAGTGTAAATATAGTGTTAGTGTCTTTATACACAATGTTTGGGTTCAAATATATCCGTAATTGTATTTACTTCTATCATTTGATATCCTAAAGCCGTGAAAGTGGATGTAATCTTAAAGCTCTTTCATTGTAAATGTAAGAAACAAAAACAAAACAGTAGCATGTAAATATCATTGACAAATAAGGACATTTACATTGAATATAAGATGTAGATAAGAAGATAGAAACTAACCTATACATCAAGTTAAAATATCAAATTAAACAGTGATCTTCATATTATCAGCAACAACAAGCTATCCTTTATAGATTTTCAAATGGCAGTTTATTTGTATAACATGGATAATATTTATGTTATCCTATACACAAAGACTATCTAAAATACATGTATACTACACACTAAAATGTGAAAAGTCTTCTTTTTAATGCTTTAAAAAAAAATTAAAAAATTGTGAATTACCTTTGCATACTGCTCATACAGGTAGGAGAGTGTACGAGGTATAATACCTCTGTCAACAAAGCGCTCTGCACCTCCAGTTATGGTAAATGTTTTGCCGCTCCCAGTCTACAAATTGATTATAATGGGAATAAGCTATTATAACTTCAGAAATAAACTAATTTTCCATATACTATTACAGCACACAGTCTAAATGAAATCACTGATTTTAAAAAAATATTTTGAATAACAGCCAATACTACATTCGCCCGACATGAGCAACAACAGAAAAATGGCAAATTTGTTTTCCTACAGAAGCACAGAACAGATATTCTATCTGTAAGTGAAAACATTCACATAATAAGGGGCGAGCAACTATCTAAATTATAATTTGATAATTCATGATTTCCTTCTTACAAATGAGACCTTCTGTTTAGCGACAAAAATTTCCCAATAGGCAGTGAGCATAGAAACTTTGAATAGTACTGTGTTGGTAATTTCAAGAACATGTGAGGACATCATTTTCTTTATAAATACATGTTATTTTATTTTAATAGTCGAAGCAAAGACAAACAGTGAAATGAATGAATAGGACTTCTGCAGTTTTACTTACTTGACCATATGCGAATATTGTTCCATTGTATCCCATAAGTGCACTGTTTAGAATATAACAATGAAAGCAAATCAAATTTAGGGATGTTAATGACAGAATAAAAAGTAAGGTGATTGGTTAGACAAATTTTCATTTTAAAAAGTCATGGGTGCCTTTCGCAAAAATAAACTCAAGTTCTGTGAAACTTTTACCATGAGTGTTTAATAAAGTATATACCCCTAATGGTATATATCATAATTTAAGCAAAAAGAACCCTGTTAAGATTATTTTTCTTCCTTCTTTTTTTTGTTCCCCCCTACACATCATAGCTCCAATTCAAAACTAAATGAAGTCAAAATTTTACAAAAAGAACACCACAAAGGGAAACTTGAAAATGGTCTTCTTAAAATATGGTAGTAGTCTCCATATTTCAGACTTGAGTTCTATGAAAGTACAATGTACTACATGTAATTATTGTAAAACCAGAACCTTTTGCAACATGAAACCTTCATGAATCACAAAATTTCAGTACTGCATCAATTGTGACAACAAGCATAAAACCCTCAGGGATCCGAACCACTTACAAATTCGCAAACACATGCAAGCATTAGAATCGATAGTTTTACAGTAATTAAGCTAAAAACCAATAATGACTTACTTGTCCACGACATCCCTCGCTACATATTCAAAGATCTCATCTTGTTTAGTCTTCTGCTCAAAGACCTTCTCAAAACGAAAAGCGTACTCCTCTTTCTTATTGTTGATAAATCCCGAAGCCTGGTCCCTGGGAACCACGAATGAGAGCCTCGTGGGCTCCTCGTTGTCATCTTCATCAACCTCATAGAGCTGGAGAAAAACCAAGACAGATTTCTGTCAATGGCTGTTATATATGGGTTTGTAAGATGTGATTTGAATTCCATGCATAATTTATATTTAGTCTAAATTTGTTAAGAATGCAACAGCCATATAAGCAAAATATATTTTAAGATGAATTTATAATCGAGTAGAAAAAAAATATTGGAAAATTATCATATAGTCTAGGTCTACTCGAAACCCACTTTAATAGTCAGAAACCGTAGACTCAGTTATCCTCAACTGTGCAAGGGCTAGGTGATAATATGAAATATGATATATATCACCTAGCGGTCCTAGCCTTACTTGGTACCCATTGCTCTGCATGAAGGAGGTAGGCCCTAAACAAAACCTAAAATGCTTTTGAAATCACCCTTCCCGCGAGAACATTGCACACTCGCTTTGGAGTCAAGTGGAATCTTCTCTCTTCTCATACAAAGCGCTTTGAAATCGGTCATGAATTTAGCCAAACATATGATACTTTGATACCGGAGCGATAGCACTTTGTGATAAATGAGCTAACGTGTGATTTACCTCTCACCTCTTACGAGAGTTCTCCATGTTGGTTCTGCCTGAAATGCAATACTTTAACTTACTTTACAATAATAAGCGATTAGTTCAGTATACTTTGGCGCACACACAGAGTTTACTGAATTTATATTTGCAAACAACCTGTGTCCTGTGCTCGACTTTACCCACTAATGATCACTTTGAACAAATCATCACTAAATACTTTGATTTATTGTCAACTAAACAACCACTCATTTAAAATGACTTCCCAGCCCCACAGTAACGGACACAATTCTTGCATGAGCCTTTACCTTTATGTTTTACTTTTACTAATTTTAGGTTTATTCCATCCATCATTCATCAAACACAACAATTCATTGGCATATTGCATTGACATCTTCTTCTTCTTCTTCTTCCTTAAAAGTGCAGGCTTCATAAAGTTCATGAAATGAAGATTAACACACTGTGGGTTGATGCGCACAGTCAATAGTACGCAGATATATACACATTGTTTAGTGAATGTGCAGTTAAAATAATAATAAAAATATAAAAATACAAATACAAAATAAAAAGTAGCTTGTCTGCATGCTAGACGGTGCCATCCCTCAATGCCACTTTGAAGGCATCGAGTGAGATAAACTCTCTTGGGTCTTTCTTCAGCATGTTCAGAGAGTTCCATTCTACGTAATTCTACTGTACTGACCTGAAATTATAAGTTCATGTTACTAAAATAGATACAATAAACTGACAATTCCAGACTGGACAACCAAATCCCAGTTCCCTTCTGACCTTCATAGTTTATTTTATCAGCGCGGCGCGATGTACAGTTACGTCCGCTGTACTTTTGTGGATCTACAGGCTCGGCTTTAAAATACGCCAGGCCCAGAGGCCTAGCTAAGGTCAAGAAAAGCCGTACCGTCGTCGTCGAAAGCGACGCTCCAAAATTAAGATCAATAATTTTAGTACGATTCTTACCCCAGTTTTGGCCTTGGTTGGCTTCACTCGGCAGAAAATCTTGATTCCCTGCTTCACCATTTCATCCCTTTCCCTTAAACACAAGATTGAACCTTCTTTTCAGCCCAAATAGTATCAGATATAGGCTCTTGCCAACGGTACACAAATTAATTTCTTTTTCAGCAACGCAAATTCAGGCTTTTCACTAAATTTAATTAAAACTCGACATAAAATATCAACTTTGAACATGTTTTTAACACCAAATTTAATTTTTAATTTTGATATCACAATAATTAATTTTTATAAATGTAAAAAATGTATAAAAACTAACATATGATATATTTAAATTTACATATATAAATGTATTATATTTTGGCAACATTGGATAAACGAAAATGAGCCGCTAGTTTTTCATCATTTTCATAGCTCGCATTATTTATAGCATTCACTTCTGTGGCGCCACTGTGACGCCACTTTACCCTATCCAATTATTGCAGTAGCACTTAATTTAAATTTATCCACCAGAAAGCACAGATAATTATATTAGTTCACTAAAAGACATTTGATATATAACTAAAGCCTATAGCCTACTCGTCACGGAGATCCTTTTAGACTGGAACCCTTTCAGTTTCTGCCAAATTTCACTCAATCAAAGTATTTTATTGAAGCGATTTAGAGTTCATCTATTGGTAACTAACATTTTTCATTTTATAATGTTAATAGCATGCATATCACTTACCAACCCTTTCCCCTCCTCTCTATCATTCTCTCTCTCTCTCTCTCTCTCTCTCTCTCTCTCTCTCTCTCTTCTCTCTCTTCTCTCTAACTCCTACCGTCACACTTTGTCTCTCTCTCTCCCAAGGGTGTCGATTTGTATCCGTGGTTGGGGGGGATGATAGGTGCCAAAATATTTTCGGCAATGGATCAAAGCAACCAAAGTGGTAGAAGCGTGTGGCAAGTTGCACCCCTCCCAAGCGCGTAGCCAGGATTTAATTTAAGGGGGGGCGGTAGTTAGCACACGAAGCGCGGTTCCTAGGGGGTTGGGTGCAGGGAGGGGGAGTCCCCCCCCCCCCCCGCAAAGCGAGGAAGCTTTGACGTTTCACTAAATTATTAGAGAAAGAAGACGATTCGTTGGACCGTTCTCGACTCTTAATCCTTGTTTGAATTAAATTCTCCTTCCTCCGCGCGTAGCGCGGTAGCTCTGACGTTTCATTAGATTATTAAAGAAAGAAGACGATTCTATGTACCATTCTCGACTCTTATTCCTTGTTTGAATCAAGCTCCCCTTCCCCCGCGCGTAGCGCGGAAGCTCTGACGTTTCATTAGATTATTAAAGAAAGAAGACGATTCGATGTACCATTCTCGACTCTTAATCCTTGTTTGAATCAAGTTCCCCTTCCCCCGCGCGTAGCGCGGAAGCTCTGACGTTTCATTAGATTATTAAAGAAAGAAGACGATTCTATGTACCATTCTCGACTCTTAATCCTTGTCTGAATTCATTTTTACCCAATCCTGCGCGAAGCGCGGAAGCTTTCACATTTTATTACATTATTAGAGAAAGAAGACGATTTGTTGTATCGTGTCCTTCATGAATTCAGTTTCCCCCCTACCGCGCGAAGCGCGGAAGCTTTAATGTTTCAATAAATTATTACTCTTTATCCTTGTCTGTATTCACTTTCGCCCATTCCGCGCGTAGCGCGGAAGCTTTCACGTTTTATTAAATTATTAGTAAAAGAAGACGATTAGTTGTATCGTGTACTTTGACGTTTCATTTGATTATTACTCTTAATCCACGTCTGAATTCAGTTGCCCCCCTAACAGCTTTGCCCTGTTCGCTAAATTATTAGAGAAAGAAGACGATTCATTGTACTGTTCTCTATATTAATCCTTGTCTGAATTCAGTTTCCCAACTGAAAATAAGTTGTGACATAATAATCTTTCTCCAAAAATGAAAAATGTTTTAGGAAATATCAGGAAATAAAATGAGTGAAAAAAATAAAAATAAAGATACAATGACGTGAATTTTAAAAAGGGTGAACGGAAACAACATAACAACTAGTGAACTATTTTATAAGTCATACTAATGTCCGAAAATCTTTCTCTTTGTCTCCGATCTCATCACGAAATCGTCACAGAGTTCATCTATGTTTACACTGTCCAGGATTGTCTGATGTGCATTGCAGATTGCTACTTTTGTGCTTCGCGCTTAACATTTAGCTCGTTGCTTTTGATGCTGCGTCTTTGCATTTGGCGCACTGCATTTCTATGATATGCTGTTGATTGAACAAATTGAATAAATTCATCAATTCCTGATGAAGCCGTATGAGCGAGAATTCAATTTATTCTTGTCTCATATACGGTTGTCTTATTAACTTCGTATATAATGTATGTATTATGAAAATGAGATAGCAAAATGTGTATATTGATGGTCATCTTGCGAGTAATAACAATTAACTACTCTCATCGGACTCTCATCATTAATTTTTCTCTTCATTTAAAAAAATAATTTTATGGTGAATTATTGGGGGGGATGATTGTACAGGCCATCCCCCCCACCTGAAATATTGGGGGGGATATATCCCCCCCATCCCCCCCGGGATCGACACCCATGTCTCTCCCTCTCTCTCTCTCTCATTCCAAGTCTCTCTTTCTACCTTTACCCTATCTCTCTTTTCTCTGTTTTTGTATCGTTCATCATGACAATATCTTTGAAAAACAAACGCACACACAAATATTTTTTGTTTAGTGACATGGTTTATTTCAATGAAAGCTACAATAAATTATTTTTCCGAAATGTTTTTATTTCCAGATTACTTTCGACGTAGATGCAGTTTCTTAGCAACCCATCGCTTGACACGCCTCCATCTACTGGGCCGATGGAGTTTGGTGATTTGACTTTGGATGGTATCGAGGCTAGGGCGATGGTAAGGGTTATCAGCCATGCACTGAGCTCCTAGCTTGGACAGTTCTCGAACTGCGGGAGAACGGTGACCTGCAGGAAGAAAGAATTAGAAAATAGAAAAGAAAAGAGGCGTTACAATATATTTTGCCACTGTTTCTATACTTCATATACTGCATAATTATTAACATAATTTATATATAAACATCAAAGCTGGATGTGCTTGCAGCCCCTACGATACAGCGCCACCGTGAAATTTTATAGAAAAAGAATTGTGAGGAAATTTAATCAGACTGAGTAGCTTTCTTACAAAGGATTAGAATAATGCATATGAATTTTTTCGTAAACCTATCTCTTTTTATGAAAAAGATAAGTTTAATTACGAACTTACAGTAAGTATGAAATTCGGTTTTACCTCCAAATATCTCTCCCATATCGGAGAGGATACGGCCGACTGAAAACACATCTGAAGCGATGGATGTTGGCTGCTCATCCAAAACAACCTCAGGTGCTATATAGTCTGCCTCTCCTCCATGTACATACGCCATTTTGAGTTCTTTGGTAACTCCGACCATTTTCGCTGGGGCGGTGATCGTACTTGACATCCCGAAGTCGATGATGACGGCGTTGTATCGCTTGCCGCGTTTTTCCAGGAGCACGTTGTCATTCTTGAGGTCATTATGAAGAAGTCCGTGATCATGGAACTCCATCATGCCCTTGACGATGTCCTCTGCGATCTTGACAACGTTGCACATCGACAGCGATGGCGGTTCGTGGAGAGGGTAGCCGGTACCCGTCTTCTTACACCCCACGAACTCGACGGCCTGGCAGAGTTCATTACCGAGATCAAGGGTACCCCAGAACTTTGGAAAGTAAGGGCTGCCTGACATCAACTGTTGGATCATTGCCTCCTTTGTTGCTCTGGTCCTGGTTGCCTTGAGTTCTTCAACCATTTCACCAGGCGAGGCGAAGTCGTCTGACCATGACGGCTCTTTGATGGCAAGAGGAACGCCTGTGGAACGATGACGTGCTATCACAACCCGACCATAGCTGCCCCTTCCAATTTCTTTGAGCGTAATGATGCTCTGTGAAGAGAAAAAAGTATATTGAAATTTAAAGCAGGCTTCTGATGATCAAAACTTTATATAAGAGAGCAGTAAATTCCATGTGTTTGTCATCAGTTTTCCAACATCGCTGAAAAGGGATAAAAATTAATATTGTTTTCCAAAATCTTTTAGCTTGCACTCTATAACTTCTGAGGGATTCTTTAATAAGGACTTAAAAACTAACTTTAAGTCCATCCAATGTTTCAGTGGATATATCGGTTCTTGCTAAGAAATCTCCCCCTCTATCTCTCTCTTTAGGCCATCACGGATCATGATGCAACTTTTCTATTACAAAAAAAAACTTTGACTTTCATACCTTTACAGTCCATCCCATGTCAAAGGTCACGATGTCATCGAGTATGAGAGTCTGACATGAGACCTTAGGTTGCAGCATGTGGATGACCTCTCCATCAACACTCTTGTTCTGATGGGCCGATATCTCTGGCCCAAGAGTATAACTGTTTTGAAAAAAGAGACACGAAATTTTAAACTAAAAGGTTATAAATAAATGCCACCAAAATCAAAAGGTTTCTCTTTTAAAATGAATATAAATGTGTTAAGGGTGGATACTAAGGCACTTGAAGATCCTTAAGTGCATGATCATCGAATTCATTTCATGTAAAAATGTATTGAAATCTTTTTACTTCATCAATATGCATGATGGCTTTCAAATATTGTGGGCATCATTATTCTTAATTACAACACTTCTACTCGACGGTAATTCATTTATGTATCATAAACAAATTGAATTTCGAATTAACATACGTGTTTAGAAGGGGGAAAAAAAATATTTGCTGCACCTCTGTTTTGGGATGAACGTTGAGATTGCAGAAGAGTCGGTTTGCTGGTCTTTCGACTCCTGGGGAAAATCTCCGCCGGGGTAAGCTTGGGCTTCTCGCCTAGCTTTGACCAGTACGGCTTTGACTATCTCAATGGCTTGAAGGATCTCATCCCCGTGGTCGGACACTGGTCCCAGGGCTAGTCTTTGACGGCGATTTGCCATCTGCTGAGCCCTCCGCTTTCTCTGAGCTGACATACCGATGTCTACCATTGTCAGAGATTTTACGATTTATCTACGAAGAAATTAATGTTCAGTTCTGGAATGAATCTTTATTTTTTTAAGCAACGGTTCTCAAATATTCGATCACATTTATTTAATCCATATTTCTTTGATTTTTTATCCGTA